CAATCAGTCCCAAATCACACACAAAATAATCTCATTTCAATCGCCGTTCAATAGGCTCTATGTCATACAAGGACAAAATCAAGCTAGGAACATGTGCGGAAATGAAGTTTGAGTCAAGAAACAAAAGACAGATTTGATGTTATTTTGCGTAACGGACACAACTGAGGCTACGCTTATCGGATTGGGATGCAATTTATACCGTTTTGAAGATAAAATAAAGGGCTACAACTTTGATGAAGACCACTCAGTCCAGTTCGTAGTGTAGCTAGGTCAAAATTTCAATGTACAAAACCAGAATCTCACAAACAGGTTAGCTAACCGCACTATGGTTAAACGACAATAACTCAGGTTACCGAAGTCCGATTAAGGCGTTTTCAGGGACGTTGGAAATCTAAGACATAGCACTACAACTTTTGTATTTGGCCAAATGCTAAGTCAGTACGCATCAGGGTGAACAGATGCGGTCAGATTGGTGAAATGTCAAAACTGTCACTCAAGTTCTACCTATGGCAGTCAGGGGTATTTTTATCTTTTCACATGCTAAAGTGCTCGGATTGAGTTGAAATTTTACAGGAAGCTATAAAACATCATTCCCTACAACTTTCATGTTTTGTACTAAGCCTAATTTGGCCCCCCCTCATGGTCAACCAGAACCGGACAGAACAGGGCAGATTGGTTTCCAATTTCTGGCTTGTGCACCTTTACTCTAGAAATCCATATCTAATAAGTGCTCTATCATCAAACCCACCAATTACTAATTCAATAACATCAATTAAGAGGTAGATAACTATAATCAAAGCTGAAAATGTAAACCCTAGCTCCATACCCAATAAATCAATCAAAACTAACCGATTAACTGTCATAAACCAAGAATATGAGTTTTTATTCACACTTAAACAAGATTAGGGAAGAGTAGAGGGTTAGGCAGCTATGGTACCTTCCAAAAGCTCCTTGGAGATGAGAAAGACACCACGTTCTTCCAAAAATTTCAGTACACCAAGCCTTCCAAGCACCAAAAGGTAAGTTTAATCGGTTTGGTTCGGTTAATTTCAACTCAACAAGGAAGAATCAAGGTTGGAGGTGAAGTTGTTTTTCTCTCTTTTCCCTCTCTTATTTTCGGCCAAGATGGAAGAAAAATGGAAGGGAATGAAGCCAAGAAGAAAGATAAGAAGGAAGGAAACTCATTTGGTCAAATGTCCATGGATTGCCAACAAGTGTCACCACAAGATTCAATCTTAATGTTTTCTTTTTCCTCCCTTTTCTTGGTCAATAATTTCGGCCCTATGGAGGAGATATTTAGGGCCAATTTTTCTGAAATAAAAGTGAGAAGATTAAGGTAATAATGTGGTGTTCAAGTGGTGCACTCAATCGGTAGTAAACGGTACCCGTCGGTCCAACCCGTTTTTCCTTATTTCGCACATATTAGGGTTTTAACTTATATTTCACTAACTTATTATTATCACTTCCAATCACACACTTAATATCATCTAAAACTTACTTTTAATCACTAAATTTGATCCACACTCCGTACCGGATAGTCACGCTACGGATAGGCGTAAAAACCCTAATTCGCACTATCTTGAAAACGAAAGGGAAAACCCTTAATTCTATGTTCATTTACACTTATTGTGGGGTGATTGAGTAGTAGGGCCATTATAAAGTAATATTTTCCAAATAAAAGGGGATTTTAAGAAAATATAAGAGATTTACAAGTTCTCACACCCACGAGACGAGATAAACTCAAGAAGCAAACTTATCACTTCGGAAGTTAAAATTCAGAAACCAATACATTTCAAATTGAAGGATTGCACTCCTCCATCGCATGAATAATTATTATCCATACCTCAAACCCTTAATTTTGCAAGAAAATATCGACAAACAAATTGCAATGATTCACGTACGGCAGGCAAAGCATATGCTTTTCAAAAACCCATAATACACTTACCTTTTAACCGCTACACCATCCTTCTCTTCCTCTGGTCAAATTGGAGTGCATCTAAAAACTAAGACAGAACGAGAAAGGGTAGGGATTAAAGAATGAAAAAAGAATGTAGGCTTGGAAGATTGATTTTGATGATGATGGATTTTATTAATAGGGTCCAAGGGTTTAGATTTGGAGAAGAAACTGGTGGAACTTTTGGTGTGAATTCTAATCGACGGAGCTTTCAAAGAATGTATTGGGCAAACTTTTAGTGAATCGGCAAACTATCAGTGAAGTGGCAAAATTTTCCTTGCCGCGTTCTTTTTTTCTTTTCCCTGCGCTTTCTCACCATTTCTTTTATACCAGTGATAAAACTATGTCGTTTCTATCTCAATTTCCTATTACTTCTGCTGACATTCACAGGTAATGCCCTAATAGCTATTCTATTTTGACATATCAAATTTTTCAATTTAGAAAAAATATAAAACAAAAGGCAATGCTACTTGGTTCATGTTATTTTATTATGACGCTCACTTTTTCATGTCTTCATAAAAGATGTAAAATAACACTTACAAAAAAGTGTCCTTATAGATATGTCATAATAGGACTTTTTTCTTGTAGTGCAGCTGGAAATTGTTGTGAAACATGAGTCAAAAAATAAGTGTGAAATGCACACAAGTTGTTCTGCAAATTGCAGAGGAAAGAGAAAGATCCGAGACCTAAGATCCGAGGGCGAAAAAACTGATCCGAGCTCGGATCATCTTTTCCATTCTTTCACGTCTCTTGCAGAAGAAGATCCGAGACCTAATTCCTAATGGATCCGAGCTCGGATCCTGTGCTCTCGGATCGGCTTCTGCAGAATAAAAAACGAGGTCTCGGATATGTGGCCTCTGGGAGGGGATCCGAGCTCGGATCCTCTTCCCCTGCTTGTAGCTTCCATCTTTTTTTTTTTTGCCGTGCAACTCCCTATCTTGCTTCATGTACACGTTAGTCTCCTTGAGTTGCCTTGCACTTTGCTTCAACTAGAGAGATTGTTCCATGCGCTCATTCCCTACAAAATGCCATATGTTCCCGCATACATTTGTACATGTAGTTCACTAAGTAACACTTAAAGAAATTTTATACTCAAAAGGGTTTAAACATGGCTATTCTCTCCTAAAAAGACAACAAAACTTGCATTTTATCAAATAAAATCAAGGTAAAATATTTACTTATCAAACTCTCCTACACTTGAATCATTGCTTGTCCTCAAGCAATCCAACAAAACACTCAACCAATAATTCAAGTGTCAAATAGAACATATGCTTTATCAAATTCAGTTCTCCCAACTCATCCTTTAATCATTATGCAATTCCTCTTAATGCATCTAATACTCATCATACTTAATAAAGTGGAATCAATTATCCCTAAATTTTATCATATTCAAATCAATCTCTCTCCCCTACTTGGCTACACAAATAACCGATTCTTACCATCCCTTAGTGAGAATTTTCCATTTCATTTGTTTCCTCCACAAAATACTATTAACGAGGGCATCTCAAATATATACTAATCACCAATACTTGTAATGTTACAAGTGCCTTTTGATGCGAGAATCGACACTTGTAGGTGAGGACCCCCGATTACTCAGCACTTAAACGTCAAATTTCCCACACCTTTCCATCCAAATACCTTTTTACGCGTAAATCAACATTTTTAGATAAAGATTCCCGGTTACTCAGTACTTAAATTTACGGTGTGAATTTATTGCTGCTTTCTCTTCTTTTTTTTTTCTTTCTTTTTCTCTTTCTTCACATTTTTTTTCAATGTTAAGAATCAACCCTCTTTCAACATGAAAAGAGAAAAAATATCACTATGGGATAATATCACTCGCCTATTTGTAAATTAAAGTAAAGGGAGAGATTTCATTAAAGATAGAAATAAAAGTATAATTGTTCCCACTTTATTAAATATACTTTCTAAGATACATTAATCGTAATCACATAAAACTAATTACAAGTCACGGGAGAAATGAATTCTTCTAAAGCAGATTTTCATTTGGTCAACGATTAAGGAAATTTGATAACCTAATTAGCTTCTTGGGTCATAGTGCAATTTTGGAAAAGATTCCGGAAAAATTTTGGCAGAGTTTTCCCTATAAATAGATGAAACTCCCTGTCAGCAAACCACAATTCAACAAGAATTCAGTCGTAATGTATATTTTCACAATCATTTCCAGCATTTCTCATAAAAAATAAAGAGTTAACATGTACTAACAACCATAGAAACCACACCCTCCCCTATACTTAATAGTCATACTGTCCTCAATGTGAAAGGAGGGCAAAGAAACAATACTACCCTAATCAATTTGCGTGAGAGATCCAGCAGTCAATACGAACATCTCGAATATCACGAACATCCCAAAATCTACTTAGACTACAGGGGGGAAAGTACATAACAGTAGGGGAGTAAGACAATCCAAAAGACTTAACTAAACAAAACACTTAACTAAAAGAAAAATAAACAAAAGAAAGTCCAAAACAAAAGAAAACAAAGGAAATTAAACTAAGGGTCCGCCTCCGACTTCTACATGAACTTCTTGCTCAACTTCGCCTCTGCGTTCAGGAATGGACGCAGCTTGACCCTCACCATGTACGGAGGCAGAGTCGGTGTAGGTGAATGGCGGATTTGGAAATAGTTCTCCAAAGCACGAAGACGCCGATCATGCCTCTCCAACCTCTCCGTCATAACGCGCTTATGTTGGTCAATGCGCTCCATTACTCTTGTCTCCATACAGCAAATGGCATTGAGGACCTAGAGATTGTTCCATGCGCTCATTCCCTACAAAATGCCATATGTTCCCGCACTAATCCATACATTTGTACATTTAGTTCACTAAGTAACACTTAAAGAAATTTTATATTTAAAAGGGCTTAAACATGGCTATTCTCCCCTAAAAAGACAACAAAACTTGCACTTTATCAAATGAAATCAAGGTAAAATATTCACTTATCAGTAAAACTTTGACTCAGTACTCTGAGGTGATCTAGGACACTCTAGAGCTTGTATTGATAAATTATACATGGTGATACTTTTGCAGTTTCAATAAATGAAGTAGAGGTATTATTTGAACTGTTTGAGAAAATCAGCAGGTCCATTATTGATGACGGGCTCATCCACAAGGTATCTTCTGTTCACCGGTGAGGTTACACAAGCGACGCTTTCGAACTATCAATTCTGGCCACACAACTTATTTTTAGTACTGATCTTGCATAAGGAAGAAAGGGCCTTCGTCAACTAATGCTTTGTGAATGTAATTTCATTCTCAGGAAGAGTTTGGCTTAGAAAAGAATCTATTTGCAGACAGGGTATGTCTTTCAATACCTTTTTCTTTAGTAGCTGTTGAAATTCATGATCATTGAGCAAATGAAAAATTCTTGGATGGATCAACTCTAAAGCTACATGGTCCATAAACTTTCCTCTTTTATCTTATTCTATTTTATTTTCTTTTGCGACGAAAATGATGTATAAACTTTTATGTGATTTTGTGTTTCTTGCGCCTAAAAAGTTGTAGGAAAATATTTAGATGGATCTAATTTTTACAGAGATTAAGATTTTAATCGTTATACTGTTCTAGAAGGTACAAGTTGACGAATCTGTTCCAGGCATACCAACCATATTATATCCATATTCTTCGCCTGAGCATACGCTGAAACGAGAGGACGCGAATCCATACAAGAATTTTCCACAACGAATATATCAAACCGCAGGGGATAAAATTTGGCTGCTTTTGTCTTATTGTTCATGGTGCAAGCTGCAACCAAGCTGCTGCTTCTTCATGACTTTTACTATTAATCTACTTTGAAGCTCTCTACATTCCCTCCTTATTCCACTTTTTGTTCTGCCCTTTGACTCCTGTTTTGGTTCTGTCTTTGGTCTCTAGTCTTGGTTCTACTTTGAACAACTCTCACTACGTTAAGATTATGCAACTGTGGTGACTGAATCCATGGTATTTTGTTGTGCAGTTATTTGATTTGTTTGATATTAAATGCAATGGAGAAATTGAATTTGGTGAATTCGTTCGAACTCTGGGTATTTTTCACCCAAATGCACCAACAGAAGATAAAATTTTATGTAAGGTTTACATTTTGTATAATAAACCACGCTGTAATTTAGACTTGTATTCTTGTTTTGCTTCATATTTTTCTTTTAGGTGAATAAGTCTTTAAATTAACTTGGTCCACTACTCGTTTGCTAATGTATTTTTGTTTGTTTTCCACCAGTTGGATTCAGACTGTACGATCTTAGGCAGAATGGTTACATTGAGAAGCAAGAGGTTAGTTCAACGGCATTTGTGCATCAGCTAAGTTAGGTTGGCTTGCAGCATGTACAATAGGTCCCAATAGCCTCCATTTTTTGAAATTCTTTTTATGGATTTTTCAATTCTGTGCCACGCGATAAGAGTAGGTAATAACAAAAACTAATGGACAAACAAGGAAGTGGGATCACTCCCTATTAAATCTTCTAACTTTAAATGAGCATATTTCTTTCACTCTCCCTTTACCATTTTACCCTTTTAGCAAAACTTGATATTCGGCCTTAATTGATAGAATACACTGATAGTGTATACATTATCACGATTTGATTCATGATATGTGTGTAAAAGCTGAATTTCAAAAGCAATGGAATTATGATTGTTATCTCAATAGGCATAATACTTTGTATATTTTTATAGAGGAAACTACTAATATGTTGAAAAAAGCTTCAATTTAACATCTTCTTGAATTTTCTTGAAAAGGCTAATAAGCGTTATATTTTTAGTTGAATTTTCAACATCTTCTTGCCTAAATTCATCGTCAAAAGCTTCAGAGTTCATTCAAATCAAATTGATTTTGTACCACACTTGCACTGAGATTAAATTCGCAAGATTCGTCATCCATTATACAAAAGAAAATGACTAATAGAAATATTTAAAATCATATAGAAAATGAAAAAAATACAACAAATATTTTCTTTGTCATTTTACCTGGCAACAGACATTGAATGCTAAAAAAAAACCTTGCAAGCCTCCTAACATTGTAAAAAGTATCTTTGACAACGAGCTAACCTTAGAAGTATAAGTAGGATAAAAGTATCTTAAGGATAGATATTTAAAAACTAGGAGGAAGTCTCAATTCTTTCTTTTCCATTTAGAATTAAAAAAAAAAAGTTAGACACACCAGAAAATTGGCGCTATCCATATGGCGCTAATTTTAACTAAAATATGAGATAATGAGTAGCTGCTTAAAAAGAGTGATGAGTAAATAGCTGCCTCAAATCGTGGATCATCTTCCGTCAATTTCGGTCATTGGAATAATCAATGAGGACTGAATATCAAATTTTGCTAAAAGGGTAAAATATTAAAGAGGAAGTGAGAGAAATATGCTCACTTAAATTTAGGAGGTTTAATAGGGAGTGATTATTCACTTCCTTACTTATCCTGTGCTCTTAGGCACAGAACAGAAACCCCCCCCCCTTCTTTTTTTTTTTTTTAACTTCTATGTTCCTACAATCTGTCAGAGATAAATGATATGCACATACCATTGCTAGTTTCTTGCTGTCTTGCATATCCGTTTTCACTGATTAATCTCCAGCACAAAAAATTTTACTTAAAGGAGTGTAATAAGCTAGAAAAGGATGTGCGTACATCGTTGCTCTCATCCAAATTACCGCCTTTTAATTGGCAACAAATGCAAATATGAAAACTTTATTTATTAATAGGATTAATCTTTTCTACACTGTCAATATTAGATGAATGATAACTATGCAAAATTTAAATTTGAAATTCAACATTTGCATGCATGTTATGAATCTAACGGTGATAGTGTATATACTGTCAGTGTATATAAGATTTATCATGATCATCAAATTAATCAAACCAACTGGCAGCTAAGGGAGATGGTACTAGCAGTACTATCGCACGAATCAGAGCTCCTACTCTCGGATCATTTCGTTGAAATAATTGTGGATAAGGTGAAAATTCTCTAGACGATTATGTTTTGTTCATTCTAAAATTCCTCCAACTTTTCTACGTTGTAGACATTCAAAGATGTAGATACGAGAGGTGATGGCAGGATTGATCTAGATGAATGGAAATGTTTTGTATTAAAGAATCCATCTCTTCTGAAGAACATGACTCTTCCTTATCTGAAGTCTGATAACCTCTCAAAGTTGTCGGTCAAATTAAATCTTCTTAACGTGTCAAATATGATCACCAAGGTAAAATCCTCAAAGTTTTCTCTGGGTTTTGTAGCAGTAAATAAAACAAAAAAAAAAGTGCTAAAAATAGGGATAATTATTCTGAAAGGAAAAGCGATGTCAACATTCATTTGCAAATTCAAATTGGAAAAGAATCCTTCCAAAGGAAAAATTCTGAATTAAGGGAATTTTTTGATAAACTACATGTCAGATTCTAGCCCTAAAAAAAGGTCAGCTAACGCAGTTACTTGGCCTGTCCGGGGACTTAAACTTTAGCATTTCCCAGCTTTGTGGTGAGCTCTGACATTGAAGATCTAGAAATCGAGGTTGATGGTTAAGAAAAAATTGTAGCTTGGAATCTCTAGTTAACTGGGGCTCAATCAAACTTTATTTCTCCGCACTGCCATACTCGGCTTAACCTTAATCATCCGCCTGGTTTGATTCATGGCTCTAAGCAGTACGTACAACTTCTTTGGGAAGCACACTTTTATGATCCTGCTCAGAATGCTTAGATTTAAGAACAGGAATAACATGTTCAATTGTAACATGACCAGTGATACGTTTTCGTGTAATTTTTCATCTTTAAGATGTACACTTACGTATTATTTACTGTTTTTCTCCAAAAATAGGGCTGTTCTATTCTGACACGTCAAAGTGTACGAGACTTGAGAGAATATAAACTTTTAGAACTCTTTCCTGGTAACTTCATTTGAAAAAAAAAAAAAGGAGGAAAAGTCTCCTGGTTTGGTGCGTTAAACCCTAACTATTCTTGACGAGTAAAGCTTTTTAGTTTTCCTCCCATATTGTAGCTTCTCGACAACGAGTGTCTAAAACAAAAGCAAGCTGGATTCTGCTTCTCGATTGGAAATTTCTTCAAATTCTTTTGCTACCATAGCTCATATAGGTTTTTATGAATGATAAAAGGGTAAAAAACAAAAAAACCCCTTGTGGTAAGCCTAATACACAGAAAAGCCCCCTATGATTTCAAAATATACAACACGATACCTCATGCTTTGAACTAAATTGTAAAGGTGACGGAATTCGTTAAACTTAACGGAAATGACTTATTGGAACCTAAAAAAAAATTTTATACCTAAGTTTTATTAAATATACCTATTCTACCCCTTAACCCTCAATTCTCTCTATTTAGAGAATAAAACAAATAAATTTTTTGAGCTGTCTTTTGCTTAATTATATCAGGACATTTTTGTCATTTTGTTCATTTCCGTTAAGTTTAATGGATTCCGTCACCTTTACAATTTAGTTCAAAGTATGAGGGATCGTGTTGTATATTTTGAAACCATGGGAGGCTTTTCTGTGTATTAAATTTATCACAGGGGGCTTTTTTGTTTTTTACCCATGATAAAATAAAGTTGCCTCTCTGGCAATATAGGGTACAGTTCTAGAAATCTTGACTGCAAACTCTCGATTTTGAATTTGAATTGGCCATACTAAACCAACATAGATCTCTAAAAGAAAAAAAGATCGGAAAGATAAGTAAGCATGCACCACATGCATGTTATATGGACGGAATACAAATACCAAGGAACCTGAAACCAAGATTGGCGTGTATTAATACCAAAAAGGTAAAGTATGCTGATATACAACTATGGGCATGGTACATGAGTTCTTCAGGAACAAATCTGGCAGTAAGGGGCTTCCAGTAGGGTGCAAGTGGAATGAGTAAAAATGGGACATCCCGAGTCTGGACTCCAGCTCATGTAATGATGCAACTCGAGCATGAGAATTTGACTTGACGGTGTTCTTAACATATTTGAATTTGACTGAAGTAATATTCAACAACCAGTTGAGAGCTTGATCAAATTCGAGTTCAAGCACGATCAAGCCTAGATTAATTTGCCAATGAAGCTTGAGTAAAAAAGTAATCATGACGTTGAGGGACAAATAATAGCCCTTTCACATGAATAAAAATAATAAAGAACAAAAGAATAATACGTACGAAAGCTCAATCGAGTTCACCCAGCCCCGGGTTTCAAACCTAATACTTCCGTGCTGGAGCTTGGCTCAGATAAATATGACTTAAACTTTACTCGAGTTGAGTCATTCAACATCAAACTTTGTCGGACTTTTGACTGAATTACTAAAGAATAGATTGAGCTTGTACTTTATTTACACGTTTGGGTCATTATTTAAAATTATTTTTCTTTTTTAAACAACAAAAAACTGAGAGTAATAGTAGCACCGCGGCAAACTCAAATAGATTGCAACAGTTTAATAAAACAAATTACGTATTCTTTCCATGGGTTTTGTGAGTTGGTGTTACTTCAAGATTGCTGTCTCATACTTTTAAGATCCTCCGACTCCAAGTAATTAATATGCAGGCTCCACCCCCTTTCGGCCAAACTGCAGGGCGCCAATTTTCAAAAGCTAACACTACTAAACGATTTTACTTGCTCATGATGGACTACTAAAACATTGCTTGATCCGTCCCCAAACAAAGCTTGAGATAACAATACTAAACGATGTTGCTTGCTCAAAAAATGTTAGTATTGTAATGAAGATTGAAAAGAATTAGCACACCCATATGGGAAAATGTCCATTAAGTCGAGTATGTCCTTGGTCAATTGGATGGAATGGCTAAAAGAAACGTTCTTCAAGGTTTTTAGTAGTTAAAGAAACCATTTCCTTTAGCCAACCAAACCCTAGAAAATAAGGGAGAGAACAAATCAATTTCCTCAAAAACGACTTCTAGGAAAATATTTTCTTAAAGAAAAACTTGTACCTTGTAGCAAACGGATTCTAGAAGAAACTTAGCTAACAGTCCAAACATTGGGACCAGAGTGGTGATTAGCCTAGCATACTGTCGATCGACTACTGGGAAAAACACATGCAAATATTAAAAAATTGAAAAAAAAAAGTAGAAATTATTGGAATTAATAAGAAGAGAATAGAAGAAATTAGTGGAACTTTTTTGAAACTTACTGATTATCTATCTATAGTTTTAATGTGGTCAAAATACTGACTATACGGTGGTAAAAAAATAGAAAAAAAAGTGATACAGAATTTGAAAACCAAATGCCAAATGTCGTGCTATAGATATCCTATGCATATATAAAAAGCAATTTGCAGCTGACTCTTGGGAATTTTTCATCTGTCTTGTGGAGGGGTATTTCTGGGAGAGCAACATTGTGGTGGCAGAATTCCTGCAAAGAGTACAACCTAGGCATGGTTTGAGAAGCAGTGTTTTGTCTATGTTACCCTTTTACCTTAGTTGGTCACGGACTGTTGGGGATTGTAAACTATCCTATGTAGGGGTATTTTGGTCACAGAAGAACAGGGAAGACAATGGTACAGCCTGGCGTACAACATCCTAATGCTTCTGCCAATGTTGTATGCCTATAATGCCCTCTTAAGTGCTTATACAGCTTTTAAACTACGAATTCAATGGCTTAAGTATCTGTTAAATTTGTCATTAATACAAATAGAAAAAGGGAGTAAAGCTGATGAAACCACAGAATTGCAATTCAACTTCGATGAAGAATAGGAACCACACAAATAAGTAATGGGACTCAATTTAAGTGAGTTGTAATATGTGCAAGATGAAGGATCGTTTGGAGAGTGTCCTGAGATGAGAAGGGCATTCGAATTATAGAGTTGGAGCTCAATTCTACCTGAAATGGGATTCACTTAAATGAGTAATAAAACTATGTTGAAGAGAGCTTTAATGCAGCCTGCTTGGAAACCCACTTTTGTAACCGATGAAAAGTGTAAATGCATGAAGTGAAGGTGTTGACCTTGGTGTTGGGTTTTAGGGACACTACGCAGCGGAAAAATAAAAATTTTTCCCTAAAACCATCCAGGAATCACCCTAGATTTTACGTATGATGTATAAAAAGTAGGGTTATAGGATTACCTTAATCCAAGCAGCGTCTCCCTGCAGCGTTGTTTGAGGATGGTCAGCCCTTGAGCAGTCCAATCGTCCTGCCTCTACTGATATCCACGCTAGAGCAACCCTGAGTCGTCTCACGAACTATGTATTGAAGAGCAAGAAAAAGTTGCTAGCCCTTCTTGCTCTTATTCGAAAAAAATATGTGACACTCACAGATTCTCCCTTTTTCTATTTGTTACCTTCACCCTCTCGTATCTCAGCCAAAAACTGTTTCACCGAGAGAGAGAGGGATACCTGATAATATATGATGATAAGTCTCCTTGTCTGATTCAAAATCAAAAGCCTAAGACTTCTCTTCACTCAAGACTCTATCTATCATCATCTGATAGATAAGAGATAACCATTTACTCTTATCTGCTCAAATAGGCCTGGGATTAATTTTCTTTTAAAATTAAACCCCGATAATTCACATAGTTTCAATCCAGGATTAAATCTCTATTGCGTGTGACCCAATAGGTCCCGAATGTATTGGTAATAATTATGGTTTAATAATTAGATAAAATAAACGACTTTATTTTATCATAACTTATAATAAATAATTAACCCATAATTATAAATCACGAGCGGTGTCTAGCAACACATCGTGATTGCCCAATTATTCGGAATTAGTCAAGGGAATTTGACCTAACCTTTCCGTGAAAAATTACCGTGTAATTATTATCCTTTTACCAAAGATATCCAATTAGTCAGGAATAAGGAATAAGTGCCAATTCCCTGATGACTAATTAAATTTTCTAGTTCCCGAAATTTACCCTTAATTAGGTTAAATTGAATACATTCTTCAATTTACCTAGTAGTCGACTTTAGGGTTAATTTCTCACTAGTGGCCATGCGGATATCAACTCCTTCTATCAGAGTGGTAAATCCTGTCTTGATCACCCATTTTCTTTACGTGTTTCACACTATATCCAACTTCTACATTTTAAGGTACTCACGAAGAGTAACAAGTAAATAGAGTCAAAATGTAGCGATTCACACTCAAGATACTATGGTGATCTCAAGTCGTAGGATCACTTACACAATTTTCACTAGAGATACACCATTGGCACTAGATAGATATCCTAACGGGATCTCTAAACGGATCATCCAATGCATTTGTACTTTTCAAATCATCTACACATTAGCCTAAGTATCTTCATACCATAGTTGATGAGAACAACCACTAATTACATTAATTAGAGGCTAACTGTGTACTAGTTTTATCGTACTAAAGATGTCCTATTTCATTAGTACAAAAACTAGGGCATTTTAATAATATTACTATAAATGTGATTGATATCTCATAGTCACCAACTCTTGTGACTATCATCACATTAGTAATATTATAAGGACTTTATCGGTTGTATCTAATATTTAACAGATAAATAAGAAGTTATTAAAATACAAAACATATAATAAGGAATGTATAAGATAAAAACAAATACATTGTTTTAGGGCATACATTCCAACAATCTCCCACTTGTACTAAAACACATTATCCATGTTTTTCATCCCATAAGATAATACATGACTATCATGCTTCTTTTGAGGAAGAACTTTAGTAAGAGGATCAGCTATGTTATCCTCTGTGGAGACTCTCTCTATCTTTACATCATTTCTAGCAACAATTTCTCTAATCAAGTGAAATCTCCTAAGCACATGTTTGGATCGCTGATGAGACCTAGGTTCCTTGGCTTGAGCTATAGCTCCATTGTTATCACAGTACAAAGTGACCGGATCAACAATGGTTGGAACCACACCAAGTTCAGTTACGAACTTTTTGATCCAAACTGCTTCCTTAGCTGCTTCCGCGGCCGCAATGTATTCAGCCTCTGTTGTAGAATCTGCTGTGGTGTCTTGTTTGGAACTCTTCCAACAGACAGCACCTCCATTAAGAGTAAAAATGAAGCCTGACTGTGATTTACAATCATCCTTATCTGATTGAAAACTCGCATCAGTATAGCCTTTGAGCTCTAACTCACCCTTTCCATATATTAAGAACAAATCTTTGGTCCTTCTTAAGTACTTAAGAATGTTCTTAACGGCTATCCAATGACCCTCACCTGGATTAGCTTGAAATCTGCTTGTGACACTCAGAGCATAGGAGACATCAGGTCTTGTACATAACATAGCATACATAATTGATCCAATTGCTGAAGCATATGGAACATTGTGCATCTTATCAGTCTCAACTTGTGTCTTTGGACACATGTTTTTAGAAAGGCTTATACCATGAGTCATAGGTAAATTACCCCTCTTAGACTGATCCATGCTAAACCTTTTTAGCACTTTCTCTATGTATGTAGATTGTGAAAGACCCAGTAGCCTTTTAGATCTATCCCTATAGATCTTAATGCCTAATATATAGGCCGCTTCTCCTAAATCTTTCATGGAAAAGTTCTTCGACAACCAACCCTTTACCGATTGTAACATCGGTATATTGTTTCCCATTATTAATATGTCATCTACATATAAAATAAGGAAAACAATTGAACTCCCACTAACTTTCTTATACACACAAGGTTCATCCGGATTCTTGAGAAATCCAAACTCTTTGATCGTCTCATCGAATCGGATATTCCAACTCCTAGATGCTTGCTTAAGTCCATAAATAGACTTTTGTAGCTTACATATTTGACTAGGATTTGGAGATGTAAAGCCTTCAGGTTGTGTCATATACACATCCTCATGCAATGTCCCGTTAAGGAACGCGGTCTTTACATCCATCTGCCAAATCTCATAGTCATGATATGCTGCTATGGCAAGCAATATCCGAATGGATTTAAGCATAGCTACTGGTGAGAAAGTTTCATCGTAATCGATTCCCTCTTTCTGCTTGTAGCCTTTGGCTACCAGTCTAGCTTTATAGGTAACCACATTACCATCCATGTCAGTCTTCTTCTTGAAGATCCATTTACACCCTACAGGTTTTATCCCTTCAGGTGGATCAACTAAGGTCCACACCTTATTGTCATACATGGAATTTATTTCGGAATTCATGGCTTCTAACCATTTAGAGGAGTCTGGATTACTCATTGCCTCTTGGTAGGTAGTAGGTTCGTCATCTTGAATGACTAGAACATCATTGCTATGGCTCACAAGAAATTGGTATCTCTTGGGAGTTGAGCGTGTTCTTACTGACCTACGAAGCCCTTGTGTATTAACAGCTTCAGTATCTACCCCATCATTATGTGGTTGAAGCTGTTCTTCATGAGATCGTTCAATGTTTGTTGGATGATCCTGAATTTCTTCAAGATCTATTCTACTCCCACTGCTTCTTTCTAGAATATATTCTTTCTCTAGAAAAATAGCATGTTTTGAGACAAACACTTTTTGCTCAATTGGATTGTAGAAATAGTATCCTATAGACTCTCTTGGATACCCTACAAACAAACATTTGTCAGATCTAGGTTCAAGCTTGTCTGACTCTGCCCTCTTCACATAAGCTGGGCAGCCCCAAACCTTCATATAAGACAGATTTGGTTTCTTTCCTTTCCATATCTCATATGGTGTGGAGTCGACAACTTTAGTGGGTACTCTATTAAGAGTGTAAGAGGCTGCATCTAATGCAAATCCCCAAAACGATTTTGGGGCACTTGAGTGGCTCATCATAGAACGAACCATATCCAATAAGGTTCGGTTTCTCCTTTCAGATACACCATTTAACTGTGGTGTACCTGGAGGAGTCCATTGTGGAACTATTCCATTATCCTTTAAATAAACTCCAAACTCGTCATTTAAGTATTCTCCACCACGATCAGATCGTAGTATCTTAATACTTTTATTGGTTTGTTTTTCTACTTCATTCTTGAATTCCTTAAACTTTTCAAAGGATTCAGATTTGTATTTCATTAAATACACGTAACCATATCTTGAATGGTCATCTGTGAAGGTGATGAAGTATGAAAAACCTCCTCTAGCAGTGATCGACATTGGGCCGCATACATCAGTGTGTACTAGCCCAAGTAAATCACTGGCTCGTTCCCCTTTTCCAGTAAAGGGCATTTTGGTCATTTTGCCAAGTAAACAAGCTTCGCATGTATCATATGATTCATAATCAAATGAATCCAAGTATCCGTGTTGGTATAACTTGGAGATGCGTTTTTCATTTACATGACCAAGCCTACAGTGCCAGAGGTAGGTTTTATTTAGTTTATCTGTTTTCATTCTTTTTCCACTCACATTGAGAATTTGATGATCAAGATCTAGAATATATAAACCGTTATTCCAACTTCCAGAACCATAAAACACACCATTTTTAGAAAAAGAACAACATTTATTCTCCTGGGTTATCCGAAACCCATTTAAATCCAAACAGGAAATAGAAATGATGTTTGTAGTAAGTGCTGGAACACAATAACAATTCGATAATTCTAAAATCAATCCACTGGGTAAAGTGATATAATAAGTCCCTACAGCTAAAGCAACAACTTTTGCTCCATTGCCCACACGTAGGATGACTTCTCCTTTTCCCAGCTTTCTACTGTCCCTTAGACCCTGCATAGATGTGCAAATGTGAGAACCACATCCGGTATCTAATACCCAAGAGTCTGATTTGGAAGTAGGCACATTAATCTCAATCATATATGTACCTGATGATGAAGCTTCAGCAAGCTTCTTTTGCTTCAGGCTCTTCAAGTATGACTTGCAGTTCCTTTTCCAATGTCCAGTTTGATTACAATGGAAGCAGGTTGCTTTGGACTGATCCGCCTTTGCCTTTTTGGGCTTTTGGGTGGGCTTGTTTTTGGATTTCTTAAATCCCTTTTCTTGCCTCTTCCTCTTCTTAGAGGAAGTAACGACAAGCACACCAGTAGAGCCTTTTCCCTTTTTGATTTCTTTCTCAGCAGTTTTCAGCACATTCAACAATTGAGGCAAAGTGTGCTGTAGATTATTCATTTGATAGTTCATAACAAACTGTGAGAAAGAATCTGGCAGAGATTGGAGTACTAAATCAACATTCAGCTCCTGATCCATCTTAAAACCTAATTCGGCCAGCTTTTCAATTAGCCCAATTATTTTTAAGACATGCGGAGCAACAGGTGCTCCCTCTGCCATCTTGCACCTGAACAATTCTTTAGAGGTATCATATCTAACCGTCCTCGATTGTTGTTCAAACAACTCTCTCAGGTGTTGTACAATATCATACGCCCCCATGTTCATGTGCTGCTGTTGAAGCTGAGGAGTCATGGAAGCTATCATGATACATGAAGCTTCCCTATTGTCATCCTTATGTTTCTTATAAGCATTTCTAACAGCAGCAGGTGCAGTAGGTTCAGGCTCTTGAGGCATAGGACCATCAAGTACATACTCAATTTTCTCATGAGTGAGAACGATAAGGACATTACGATGCCAATCAAGAAAGTTTGTGTCGTTGAGTTTGCAATCAGTAAGAATAGTACGAAGGCTCAAATTGTTACTCATTCTACAACAAAATGAAAGATAGAATTTGTTAGAAAAATGTTTTGTTTAATAAAATCATAAAAACTTCAAAATTATGATTTTATTTTCACTATTTTTTTTCAAATCAATTACCCTTCAAAATTGATTCGGGAATTTCTAAAATTCCATAGTGGCTAGAATCCTATCTTAATTTATTTCGACCTTGAGTGTGTCCCAACAAATCGAAAATAATTATGAAAGGTAGGTACTTTTATCAATTACAACTTATTGTAATTCCTAGATCAGTTGGGTGTCAACTCTTGACTTTAAATCTCTATGAATCAACCCAACACTTGCCTCTAAAATTAATGATTTTGAGTGAATCCCAACAAATCATAATTTTAGTTAAATCAAACCCATCATTCTTGAGATCATTTCCCATAGCAAAAACACGTAGTAAGTAAGGCAGCCTTGGGTGAATCCCAACAAGCTAGCACTTAATAACTACTCTAGTTTTAGACTATAATGATGGAAGGCATTTTATTGATTTAATATTATTGTTGAGGGATTTGTCTCCTTTTTTCCAAAAATATTTTATAATTATAATTTGGAAAAATTGCTCATTTGGTCTCATCAATAAACATGCATATAACTATATCAAACTTATAAACATGAATTTAAATCGTGGATGGTTGTGGATATTCCTAGACTAATTTCCCCGGCCATTAGGAAAATTAGCATGAGACTAAAACCTTTAATCTCGCGACGAACCCCTTCGTTGTAGTATGTCTTCTTTCTTCTTTTCAAAGTAACAATTTCTATATAAATAATATAAATTCCTATCATCTATTCCTATCTATTGTACATTACAAATAGTATAGAAGAAACCCCGAGTTACATTCGGGGGGAATTTAGATGAGAAAAGAATTTACAATTAGAAAATAAGAAAGGCAGGACACGCAGGCCCTATTTTAAAATTAATTACAACCATTCAATCTTAGAATGATTGTAACCATCCAAAATACCACAATCATATTGCGTACTATATCCACAACCATCCACCATGCATTTTCACGATTTAAACAACTTTAAATAAAAGAAAAGCATGTAAAATAAGCAATCTCAATTCATGGATTAATTGGATTTAATTCCTAAGGTCCCAAACAAATTTTGGGTCCATGCATACGCAAGAAATATTGGTAAAATTAAATTTTATTAGGTCAACTTTATCCTCAACTAATTTGAGGAAAGAATGGGAAAATAATTCAAATTAATCAAATTAGTTCTAAATTAATTCCCAACCTAACAGTATATGAAATAAATGATTCCATAATACATTTTAACAATTAAAATGGGATTTAATTCAGAAGATTGCCAAAAGTTCAAAACTTCAAGTTTTAGAAAAATTTTTTTTTTCTTTCTTCTAAAACACTCCTGCAATCGTTTACTGTCATCTCCGGCAACTACCATTGGACACCACCACTTCAGTCACCACCGCTGAGGTCTGTACTTATCACCAGTGGCAACGGCTCCCAGCAGTAGCTCCCAGGTGGTCGCAACAATAGAGCTCAGCTACAGCAGCAACCTGCTGCAACGTTTCCTTGCATAGGTTGCTGCTGCAATTTGCAGCAGTTTTGATGCATTCTCATGCCTTAAAAGCTCTTGGTTTGCTTACCTAGCAACCACCAAGAGCTATAGCAACTTTCCACCACCACCAAGGAAGCCTCTCATGGCCTCACATAGCAGCGGCAGCAAGCGGCAGCCCTTGGAAGATCGCTGGCAGCAATCACTCGCATGACCTTGCGGCTCCCATGGCCTGCTGCTGCTTTTGGTCGCCTGTTTGCTGGATAGCGAAGCTACCACCGCAACAGCCACCACCACTGGAGTCTCCACTGACCACCAGTGGCAGCGGCTCCTGGTAGCAGCCATCGGAGGTCATGGGCAGCAACCGTGAGGAGGCTGCTGTGCTCTGGCCGATGTCTGCAGCAAATCTGCTGCGCTTTTGTCCCAGAGAGCTCATAGCTCTGTTACCCAGCAACCACCACCAGGCGTGCATCTTCTACTGCCACCATGGAAAAACCACCATGGTCTCACATGGCAGCTGCAACTGGCGGCAGCCCTTTCAGCCGCTACATCGCAGCAACCGCAGGTTTGCAAACGCAAACCTGCTATGTCGACTTTTTTTTTTTTTTTTCTTTTGGTCCAATGATCATCCTGCAACTTTTGCAGATGATCAACTATGACCATGGGTGACCCAAATCCACGAAAGAAGGGGAAAAAGGAAAAAACCAGGTGCTTGTGAAAACCTGCGACTGCGGCCACGGCTTTCAAAAGCTTTTAAAAATCAGGTTTTCAAAAGCTTTCATGCAAACCCTTTTTTTTTTTTCTTTTCTTGTTTTGAAAAACCCAAAAACAATTCTTCCATAATTCCGCATATCAATTAAATCCAAACAGCAATATTAATCCATGAATCCAAAATTGCTTAAAATCATACGTAAAATTCTTAGGGATGGCTCTGATACCACTGTTGGGTTTTAGGGACACTACGCAGCGGAAAAATAAAAATTTTTCCCTAAAACCATCCAGGAATCACCCTAGATTTTACGTATGATGTATCAAAAGTAGGGTTATAGGATTACCTTAATCCAAGCAGCGTCTCCCTGCAGCGTTGTTTGAGGATGGTCAGCCCTTGAGCAGTCCAATCGTCCTGCCTCTACTGATATCCACGCTAGAGCAACCCTGAGTCGTCTCACGAACTATGTATTGAAGAGCAAGAAAAAGTTGCTAGCCCTTCTTGCTCTTATTCGAAAAAAATATGTGACACTCACAGATTCTCCCTTTTTCTATTTGTTACCTTCACCCTCTCGTATCTCAGCCAAAAACTGTTTCACCGAGAGAGAGAGGGATACCTGATAATATATGATGATAAGTCTCCTTGTCTGATTCAAAATCAAAAGCCTAAGACTTCTCTTCACTCAAGACTCTATCTATCATCATCTGATAGATAAGAGATAACCATTTACTCTTATCTGCTCAAATAGGCCTGGGATTAATTTTCTTTTAAAATTAAACCCCGATAATTCACATAGTTTCAATCCAGGATTAAATCTCTATTGCGTGTGACCCAATAGGTCCCGAATGTATTGGTAATAATTATGGTTTAATAATTAGATAAAATAAACGACTTTATTTTATCATAACTTATAATAAATAATTAACCCATAATTATAAATCACGAGCGGTGTCTAGCAACACATCGTGATTGCCCAATTATTCGGAATTAGTCAAGGGAATTTGACCTAACCTTTCCGTGAAAAATTACCGTGTAATTATTATCCTTTTACCAAAGATATCCAATTAGTCAGGAATAAGGAATAAGTGCCAATTCCCTGATGACTAATTAAATTTTCTAGTTCCCGAAATTTACCCTTAATTAGGTTAAATTGAATACATTCTTCAATTTACCTAGTAGTCGACTTTAGGGTTAATTTCTCACTAGTGGCCATCCGGATATCAACTCCTTCTATCAGAGTGGTAAATCCTGTCTTGATCACCCATTTTCTTTACGTGCTTCACACTACATCCAACTTCTACATTTTAAGGTACTCACGAAGAGTAACAAGTAAATAGAGTCAAAATGTAGCGATTCACACTCAAGATACTATGGTGATCTCAAGTCGTAGGATCACTTACACAATTTTCACTAGAGATACACCATTGGCACTAGATAGATATCCTAACGGGATCTCTAAACGGATCATCCAATGCATTTGTACTTTTCAAATCATCTACACATTAGCCTAAGTATCTTCATACCATAGTTGATGAGAACAACCACTAATTACATTAATTAGAGGCTAACTGTGTACTAGTTTTATCGTACTAAAGATGTCCTATTTCATTAGTACAAAAACTAGGGCATTTTAATAATATTACTATAAATGTGATTGATATCTCATAGTCACCAACTCTTGTGACTATCATCACATTAGTAATATTATAAGGACTTTATCGGTTGTATCTAATATTTAACAGATAAATAAGAAGTTATTAAAATACAAAACATATAATAAGGAATGTATAAGATAAAAAACAAATACATTGTTTTAGGGCATACATTCCAACACTTGGTTGATCAGTCCTTGGTTTTGATGATTAACAAACCAAAATGTAGATTTGGACTAATATTTTTATGTGAGAAATTTGTGAGAACATGTCATTGATCCAAAAGAGAATCGAAAAGATTTGAATCAAAGAGAAGTTAAGAAATATGAAGGTTCGGACGTAGAGGATCGGACGCTCGATAGAGGATCGGTCGTCCGACTGACGACGATACTCTTCGGACGCTTGGATCGGACGCTCATTCATTGCTTCGGCCGTCCAATACAAAAAGAATGAACGTTGAACATTCTGACTTCTATCGGACGCAGGGTTCGGAAGCAGAACAAATGGTTCGAACGTCCGATAGGTGGTTCGGACGCATGGTTCGGACGCAGAGCAAATGGTTCGGACGTCCGACAGGCCAACGGCTAGTTTCGACAGCATTTAATATTTGACCGTTGGAGAGCCTTTTGAAGCCATTTCTCACCTTCTATAAATACCCCAAAGCACAAGAAGACACAGACTTTTGGCCAACACTAAATACAAGCTTACAAGTGAGATCTTTGAGTAGAAATATTCTTTGTTGGTTGTATAAGGGGTTGGGAAAGTTGGGTTGTGAGGTTGCTCAAGTGAAGGTTACTCTCTAGGAGGAGTAAAACTTTGGTGAAGGTGAACCCATCACTTGGAGTGGTAAAACCTTGATAAAGGTTGCCTCACTTGTATAAAGTAGTTCTTAATTGAGTGGGTAAGCTTTCAATTGTAGCTAGTTGAGGGTTTACTTGGAGAGTAGTAAAATTCCTTTGCTCAACCAAAGTATGTTTGGGGTGAGGAAGGAGTGAGCCTTCACTTGTACAAGTTGGTTAGCACTACCATCAATTGAAGAAACTATTTGATGGATTCAACTCCAAGTTTGGAAGAAGCTTGGAAGTTTGATTGGTTTGAATTTCTTTTACTTTATTGTTACTCTATTTTTGTGCTTTAAAATTGCTTATATTCTTTGTCATTGTATTTACTTGACTACTTGTCTGGTTGAGTATTTTGGTTGTATTTGGTTGCATCGGGGCTTACAGAAGGATCATTTGCAGTCAATACAATTAACTTTAATGCTTTATTTAGCCTACTTGACAAAGCTGTTGGTTTGAGTATTTAATTTGTTATCATTGTTTTGCACTTGCATTTGTTGGTTGGAATTGAATTGTTGTTGGTTAGAACTAACAACTCTATTGTACCATCAGTATTATCAACCCAGACAATGATGCATTTGCTAAAACCATCTATAATAATATGGTGTCCTTATTGTCACTGCTATATAATTTGCTGGTTCTTTTGCTTTCATAGATTAGAATTATAATTTTGTACAATTCCTTTCTCACAATCCTACTTTATGACACACTATAACCGATCCAAGTACACTTATCACCATCAACATCTATACCTGTACACACAAAAACTAGCCCACAGGTCAAAACTCCCGTGTTGAGCTCGGGCAAACCCCCTAGCGTAAGAAAATATTTTATAGTTTCATGAAGATGTAGGTGGTGGGCTGGTGGCTTATAGAATGTGGTTTCTAGACAGACTGGGTCACTACCCATATCCGCGTACTTCCACGAACATATATGCTTCTTCAGAACAATTATATGGCAATGTCCAAGATCTCTCAACCTTCAATGATCAATTGTGGTAGACCTGATAATTATACTCAAAACCCAACAACTCACCCACTAATTTGAGAGGTTGGGTTGGGTAAGTTGGGTATTGGGTCAATTTTGGGTTAGATAATAAAAACTCACATATATTTTGGGCGGTTTGAATATTTGTATTGAGCACCCATTAACTTAAGTTAAAAAAACAAATAAACAAATTACAAAGGATGGGATATGGGATACAGAAACATTTCATTGTTCATGAAACAGCATGAGACATGAGCCAAAGCAGGGTCTCCATGTATGGATACTTAACAAAATTATATGAGTTACTTAACTATAATACTTACTTGCACGCGTCGACGTTTTATTATTTTCCTATATTCAGAGTATTCCACTCCTTTTACTTCCATAATATTTTTCGCCACTTCTTTTGTCATGCAATCAAATATAAGCCCATTTGGATTGTTATTTTTTGAATTTTTTTTTTAAAAAAATATACTGTAACAATTTAATGTATATGTAATAACAAAATAATAAAAAAATGCATTCAATAAAACATAAAATTTTTTTTGGGAAAAAATAACAATCTGAGAAAGTTTGCAGACATCATATCATATGTGTGCCTTTCCCACTTCTTGCTGTACTAGTACGCTATTCCCATTCTCAGTTCTGGTAGACCAGCGCAGAATTGGACATTAAAGAGATCTTAATTGATCAAGGCAACTAGCCTTGCTTTCATAACACGATTCCTTCTTCATTTTATTTCAAAATACACACTACGCTAAATCCATTTCTGACACCACTAACCCACGCCAAAACCCCCCATCTCCTCCCATATCATACAAGATACATGTGTATTTTAGTGTGTTTATATTTGCAAAAATAAAGTATTCAAAATAGCTTAAAAAGTGAGTGTGTGTTTGTATCTGTGAGTGTTTTAGTGTGTGAAAATATGTCTATCTATGTGAAAATGTGTTTATGTGTGCGAAAATTTTTTTTTTGTATGTGAAATATATTTGAGAGAGTTTATGTATCAAAATCTATTAATTAATATATTGGGTCATATTTGGATCATGTGTTTGAGATGACCCAATATGACCCAACCCAAAATTAACTCAATCTAAAGTTAGGCGGGTTGGGTGTAACCCATTTAAATGAAAATCCAATATTAACCCTCTCAAAACTCGCCAAACCTGTCCAATTGCCAGGTATAATTGTGGTTACGAGTTCATGTCTTGCATCCTCCAGAAAATAAAGGGTTCATTCTCATAGTTTCGGTTTCCCTTGTCATAATATGCTTGCTCCTTCCCATCGATCGCTCCGGTTAATGCTGGGAAAAAAGTTCAGAATTTTCCTGAGCCTTGTCTTTTCTTGAAATATATGATTAGATTCTTTTGGTTGCATTACTAGTTTAATGAAAATCTAGAATGTAAGATCACTATATAAAATCCTATATCAGTAATACATATTTAAAGGAGCAAACAAACAAATTAGATCACCACCTGCTTACAATACAAAATAAAACAAAAAAGAAAAACTATTTAATTTTGAATTTACAGTTATCTTACACAAAGGTTGTCCACTAAATCATGTCAATAAGCTTGAATCCTTATGCTTTCAAGAGCTCCTTCCTTATCTTTGAGTTTTACTCTCAATTAAAATTAACTTTCCGCCATATCTAACTGGATGATGCTAGGTAGTACGTGGTTTCGGTATGCATATTTTTGTCTAGCACAAGCATTTGACCAAAGTTATAAATGGTACTGGAAAGTTGAGTGAGGGGAATCAAGTTCTTTTCCTTTCTTTTTTTTTTTAAAAAAAAAATTCATGTTCAAAACTGTTGGAAGAGAAGTTAAAGATTCTGAATGTGGGAATACAATGTGTACAGCATTAGGAATTTTGAGAATTGTTGTGGTTAGCGTCACCTATGACTCAATGGTCAGCCATTGCTCGGTTGGATGCGACCGAAGTTTGCTCATGGAAATTTATTTCACGCGCCGCAGAAAATTTATGATGCTCGGTGTCATAGATGTGAGGGGTTTTGACTTTTGAGCCGGGAGAGGGGGCAGGAGCCGTCACATTGCAATCACTTGTAATGTTTTTGGACTAGTTGGCAACTCATTGCAAATTTCTTGCACATTTTTGTGACAAAAATATTATATTCAGTTACTTTTTATTAACGTATAGGAGAAAAAAATTATCATTTTATGTAAACCCTGTAGATGTTGATTGTGTCATAATTATGTGGCTTTTTTTAATGAATTAATCTTTTATATACTGACAGTGTATACACTTTCACCATTAAATGTATGATATATAATTCGAATTTGAATTTGAAACTCAAATTTTACTCTTTTTTTTTAAACGTGTTCCAAGGATCAAAAGTTCAAAGTCTCGTTAAAAAAAAAAAATCAAACTTTGGAGGCATCAAACTCGATTTATTTTACTCGATCATCAACTCTGGTCAAGATAGATGCGTTATTCCTACGTAGGATGCCCTTCTCCTAAAATCTTAACTCCTAAAACACGCCAAAATAGGGCAAACAAAGCTCCTCTTGAATATTTTGATGCCATGCATCGTTTATCATCGCGCAAGAACACATGCTATCAAATTTTTCAGTGCCAAAACCAAATCAAAAAAACTAGGCAACAAGGGTTCGATGCATTCATCAGCCACCGAGGGATCGACACAAAAAGAAACGTTGCATTGTTGATCTATGATTACCTCAAATGTCTCAGGCTCCAGCCATTCTTGGACTGCAAGAACTTGAAACCCGGAGATGAATTGAAGAAGAACTTAGACATGGCAGTGCTCAAATCTAAGGTTGGAATTCCCGTGTTTTCACCCCATTTTTGTGAATCCTACTTCTGCTGTCATGAATTGTCCCTCATGATAGACTCAAACAAGAAGGTTATCCCGATCTATTGTGACGTAAAACCTAATGAGCTTAAGATTAAGGCTTGGAGAAGCTGCTCCACAGAAGATCTGGAAAGGTTTAATCGAGCCCTCCATGAGGCAAAAGAAAGGATTGCAATAACGTTTGATACATCCACGGGGTAAGTACATACAGAATTTGATCCATTAATTGTCAATTATGTTATGTCTTGTACATGACTGGATTCTTGAATAGATGTACGTGTTGATAAATTTCTTCTCAAAATTCTCCATCTGAATTTGCTTGGAATGCAGAAGGAAAACAAAACAGAGAAAAATCCCCTATACGCTGATGTAATGGTGGCTTGACTTCTCATATGTGTGCAGGAATTGGTCCGATTTCCTAGCAAAAGTTTCTGCTGCAGTCAAAGAGAACTTGGACGAGGTAGTAGAACTGTAGAAGGGGACACTCTGGAGCCAAAATGCATGCGAGTTGTTGAAGTTGTATACTTGCCACCTGTATGCATATGACGGAGAAAAACACATATAGCTTGATTAGACCCCATGGATTATCTATTTGTCTTCCCCCAAATAAAACGCATTTGACAAATTTATGTAGTTTCTGATATATTTTCGGGTTTCCTAGCTAATAGTTTGATTCTGTCAGTTTGATGTAATTGGTAGGGCCTTGGCTCTGTATCATGCTTATCGCTTAGTCATTTAAGAAAATGTCAGTTAATTTTCAGTTAAAAAAGAAGAAAATTAATTACTTTTCTTGATAAAATTTTTAATCATCATGTGGAAACAATATTACGCACTACACATCCTCCACCTCCTTCATCTTGATTCCCTTTTCGTAGAGTTACTTGAGAATTTTGATTTTGAGAAAGAAACTCCTCAATCCATTTGCTTCGTATTTAGAAACTGAATTACGTGATTGCGCAGGATCCCGCAGGATGTAGTTCAAGATCCCGCAGGATGTCTTTTTCATTCTTTTTAAAGTTTCTTCCTAGGAGATGCAAGGGATGAGATTTTCAAGGAGATCTTGATCCTTGCCTGGCAAATGATTGAAAAGGTTTTCTAACCTTTTTCAGTTTAGAAAATTTAATCATAATTTTATTTTTAACTTTTCATTGGAAGAAGTTATTATCTATTATTCACAAAGTAAGAGAAAGTCACTAGTAGAAACTCAGAGAACATTTAGGGACAAAACCAAGAACCATTGTGCCCAACAGAAAGCCGACTACTGAAAATTAAAGGTGTAAAATCTCTAATAAAACTCCATTCGACTAAAATTTATTTGGGCCATCAATCTAAAAGGGTTAATTTTATTTTGTAAGAGAAAGTCACTAGTAGAAAGTAAGAGAAATTATAAAGTCTGTTAAAGATTTTATACATTAGGGATTAAGGGATAGATTTTACTTAAATTTTATAAATAAATTTTATACTTTACAGACTAAATTATTACATTTCAAAATTTGGAAACCAAAGTAGAAATTTAGGTATAGTTGAAGGGTGGAAAGTGAAATTAATCCATCTCAAAAACATCTTATCTAGAATTATTAAGCATCCGTTATTTGATAAAAAGAAAATATTATTAAATAAAATGGTGGAAATTTTAACAAAATTAGATGGAAAATTTTATATATATTTCATAAGCATCCTGTTAGATATCATGCTCCACGAATGTTACTTAATTCATAAAAATGTTGATACGGATGATCCGAATAAGTTCATATTCCACTAGATAAGTTCCATGTATTGCGTCTAATTTTGAGTTCCCTAATACTCCTGTACCTGCTTATACGAAAAGAATTCTAACTTAAACATCCTTACTAACTCACTTTAACGGGATTCACGATATTTGATGAGATTATACTGAAATTGACGTTACAGGATTGAATCAATATCAATCAAAATCTTCACATACCTTGTGGTATAATTATTTCTTAACCAATTAACTACTGGGTTATTATAACTTTACTCCTTTAATATTCGGTGTCATTATCAATTTCCCCCTTAACGTTACCTTTTAGTCACTTTACCCCCAAGATTAATGGTCAAACTTAACGGAATTTGTTAATTAAAGTAAAAAGACATGTTTAGTCCTTAAAATTATTATCACTTTACCCCTATAAACTATAGCTTCATTATCAATTTATCCCCTAAAGTTATTTTTTAGGTAATTTATCCCACCATTAAACCAACTTAGTAAATTAAAGAACTTTAGAAGAAAGTACCCTCCTGTTTGTATAATAAAAAATTTAGAGTGGCTCTTCTACTTTTTAGTATCAAGAAAAAAAGTCAAAGTGTTAATCTCTTTCTTCTTGACAATCTTATTAATATTAAAAAAATAGAAAGATGGGGAGGAGGGGGGGAGAGAGATAGAGAGAGAGTTCAATTCTTTTTCTTTTTTAATACAAGAAAGAAAGAATGAGAAAATCCTTTTATTTTTATGTTTTTGAATCTCTTAAAGTGAAAAAAAGAAGAATAACTATTCCAACTTTTTTATTTTTAATTATATCTAATAAAGGTAAATATATTTAAAAATTTTTGATGATACTAGTTAGATTAATAATGAGATAAAATGCCTAAAAAATAATGTTAAAAATTAAAGCGATTGTATCACTATAATTTTAAGAGATAAAGTGATAATAACAATGTGATAATGCTATAGAATAAAGGGGGTATTTTTGTCCAAAATTTTTTAACATGTTGAGTTGAATTACTTTTGGGGGTGACGTAAATAAAAAATAACGTTAAGGGGTAAATTGATAATAGTGATATAGTTTAAGAGGGTAAAATGATAATAACCCTTAAGTTAAAAAGGTCCTAATGGAACATTGAAAGTGCAGTGCAATCACTGCAAAGAACTATTTGCCAAAAGTCCATCTGGAGCTACTTCTCAACACAAGCGTCACCTCAAAAATTGCCTACAAAAGAGACTGGCTGTTGGGGAGGAAAATCGAAAGAGGCAGCAAGTGTTATCCTTTACCGAAGGACCCTCGGATGGTATAACTTCTATAACTAATTTCTCCTATGATCATGCTAAAGTACGAGAGTTAGCAGCTCATATGGTTCTTGTGCATGAGTATCCTTTCTCTATGTTGGACCATGTTGTTTTTAACAAGTTCATGAAAGCTGCATCTCCATTTTATAAAAAGATTAATCGGCAAACAGTAAAGGAAGATTGTGTGACTGCTTACATGCTTGAAAAGAGAAGGCTGAGAAATATTAAAAGGTACCAATAGGGTTAGTATAACCACAGATTTGTGAAAATCTGGTCAAAAAATTCAATACATGATTGTGACAGGGCATTTTGTTGATAGTGATTGGGTGTTACAAAAACGGGTTCTAAATTTTTGTAATGTCCCACCTCCTCACACGGGGGTAATTATTGCCAATGCTTTAAGTAAGTGTTTTCTTGAGTGGGGTATTGAGAATAAGGTTTCTACTATCACTGTGGACAATGCTTCTTATAATGATGTATGCATTAGGAGAGTTAAAGAGGATTTTTCTCTAAGAAAAAGGTTGAGCATTGGAGGAAAAATTTTTCATATTAGGTGTTGTGCCCATATACTTAATTTGCTTGTTCAAGATGGGTTTAACCAAATTGTTGATGTGATTGATGTTGTTCGAGAGGGGATTAAATATTTGAAAATTTTAGAGTCTCGTCTCAATGAATTTGCCAAAATAAAAAAACAACTTCAATTGCCTTCTAAAAATCTCATTTTGGACTGCCCAACTAGGTGGAACAACACTTATTTGATGTTGGCTTAGCTCTAGAGTTTAGGGATGTATTTCTCAGGTATGGGGACATTGATCCTGGGTTTCACTATGTCCCAAGTGAGCACGAGTGGATGAAAGTTGAAGAAGTTTGTAAATTTTTTGGTATTTTTTATGAGATCACCAATATTATTTCTGGATCCGATTACCCAACAGCTAACCTTTTTCTTGTAGAGTTGTATAGGATTAAAGAGCTATTAAATGAAAAAGCTCTCGATTTTTCTGATCATATTAGGTTTACGGCTGAGAGTATGGCACAAAAATTTGACAAGTATTGGAGTGAAAGCAAGCTATTCTTGATCCGAGGTACAAAATGGTCCTTGTTAATCATACTTTCCTAGTTATTTATGGAGAAGATGCAGCCCCTAGGTATATTGATGAGATTAGATGCATTCTTTATGACCTCTATAATGAATATGTGGATGCTCACATCTCATCTCATGGTGAGGAACCACAAAGGGAAGCTGGAAAACGAAAACATGCAGAACTTTCAAGTAAATCTACCCAAGGGGCTGCTAAAAAGCTTGGAGTTAATGTTTTAACAGGGAAAGAAAAATTTCAGATGATTGTTAGTGAAATTGACAAGACTCTCCCTGAAAAATCAGATTTAGATGTCTATTTGGAAGAGGGCGGATATGTTTGTGATGCAAATGCAAATCTTGATGTCCTGAGTTGGTGGAAAGGGGAAAGATGGAGGTTTCCTATATTGTCAAGATTGGCAAGTGATGTACTCGATATTCCAGGTACAACCGTGGCGTCCGAATCTACTTTCAGTGCTGGTGGTAGAATAATCGATGATATGCGTGCTTCTATGTCTGTTGAAACGGTGCAAATGCTACTTTGTGGGAATGATTGGATCCGCAATCTTCATGGGTTAAAAAACAAGTCTCGTGTAAGTAAAATATATCTTCTACTAGTTGTTTATTTTGGCAGCTCATTTTATCTTGTTAGGAGTTGTAACTTTCTTGTTTTCGTTTTGTAGGAACCACTCGATATTCCCGAATCATCTACAATTGAAGAAATTGATCTTCCGGACATTTGAAGGCTATTTTCTAGAATATGTGATGCTGTTTCTTGTGATTTGTAAAGTTGGACTTGTGAAATGTACTATTTCTTGTGATTTCTGAAGGGGTTGCTGTACTTTGTCTTGTGATTTCTGAAGTTGGACAATTTTTAGCTATGTAGCAGTGTTTTACATAGTTATTTGGCTGTAGTTTGTGTGTTTATTTGGCTGGACAAAACCTGTTATGATATATTGGCTCTTATGGATGTTGTCTCGTATGGAATTAGGTTGTAGTTTGTGTATTTGTTGACTTTTATTCCTAGAGTTTGTGTTGTATGGATGTTATGGTCTTATATGTTGTCTCGGATGAAATGTGGTTAGAGTTTGTGTATTCTTGAATGAGAATGGCATTGCTTGCCAATCCTAGTAATTTTTGTTGATTTTGGATAGCTTAACTCTGGACAAATTTTTGGATCTATTAAATGGAACTATGCTGGAGCATGACTTTGTAATAACTGATTGCTGGACAAATATTTCGAAATCGAGCCTCAAGCCTCAAAATCGAGCTCGGACAGATATTTCGAGCTTGAGCTCGAGCTCGTCCGAGCCTGGCTCGTTTGTGATAAACGAGTCGAGCTCGAACTCGAGTTCGAGTCACATTTCTATTTTTCGAGTCGAGTTCGAGTGCATATCATGGCTCGTCCGCACGGTCGAGCGAGCTCGAGCCTG